TTCTCCTTTTTCCCGACTCTATTAAATGTTCCAGAACAAAGTTCCAATAAAATTCGATTGTTCTGTGTAACTTATTCTTTCCAGGTACTTCCTACACAATTTGCTTAACACGAATTCTCAAAATTTTCTTCTATTTATCTAATAAGTCCGAAAATTGAACTGGAAAACACCACCAGAATATCGAGTAGAATATCATTTACTGATTTCATCAGAAAATGAAAAATAAAACTCACTATAGGCGTTATATTGAGAGTACGTCTCTCAATGTCTCCTTGTTCGAAAAATTCACTGCTGACTAGTTCGGCGACGCGTTTCTCAATTTCCCATGGTTTTGTAATAGCCGCTAGATCACAAACTGTCATCAGCATACCACGAAGCAATTCCCGGTGCTCACCGTATCCCCAGTTATATGTCCGTGATCGTGCAATACTGAGAAATGCACCACGTTTGCTGAAATAAACAGCTAAGTCTGTTGCGAGAATAGCCTCCTCGAGAACTTTAACGACACGTGAGTACTCTTCTGGAGATAGATTCGAGAGGATTTGATTTCCCTCGCTGCTGAGGATCATGAGGCACTGATCGAAGTGATGGTGCTCCATTGTTGAGGTAGAATACAGTTGGGCCAGTGGTGAAGAAGCTCTAGAACGTCAATAAAGCTCCAATTATTATCTTACCACTTTCCCATACCCTTCGAGTCTCCTCACATTGCCGAATAATTATTATTATTTTTCTTAATAACCTTCATCCAAATCATCCCAAGTGGTATGAAATATCATCCATTTTTTTTCAAAAAGAACAATCTTAATTCCCCCCACAAGCATGCACTATCTCAGCAGAGATTTAAAAACACAAATTGATGTGAGCTCTTATCAAATAATGTTTAAGTAATGATTCATTAGCATGTATTGATACACTCATTTCGATAAATTAATTGATATATGTATTTGTTAACTACAATCACACAGTATGTTACCCACTCAGTCCTCAGTTTTCCAATTAGCTAGTTGGACAGCTCATCAAATATCGAGAGTAAAGTAAAAAAAAAATGAATTAAGCAAAACGTTAAAAAAGGTTATTGTGAATAACAG